GTGACCTCTGGTGGCGAGTGAACGGAAGTTCATAGACCGGATTCGTGACAGCATTCACACATATGAATGTTTCAGCATATGATTATACCATGAAACAGAAACATTAGAAAGAACTTTTGTTTTGTGTGTATATTTTTTTTAACCATTTCATTGACACAAACCATCCAAAAGAACCGGTTCATGGAAATGAATCAGACTTCTCCTCACTACTTCCCAGACTGATGCATTTCAATCACCTTATTCCTCATCATAATTTATGGAATTTCTTTCATCTTTGACCTAGTGTGTTACTGGTTAAGTCCTATTAACTAATTTCATGCTGTTGAAAAAGTCCTATTTATGTGTTGATTAAATTGAACAGGAGTGCAGTAATCAGACCTGGCTGCATCTGTTCCAGCTGAACTCCATTATGAATGCAGTTTCATAGATTTGCGAATAAGTAAATACAGGGGCAAATACATAGTCACAGAGGCACAGTTAGTATTAGATACTATCATTAATAAAATTATCATTTAAAACTTAATTTTGTGTTCACTCAGGTTGCCTTTAGATTTTGCTTTTATTTATGAAACAATTTAGTATGATGTTGCCAATTGGCCTTAAACTACTTGACTAGATTAATTTGTGATGTAATGTGTAATAACAAAAATATAATCATAAAAACAATAGATATGTGTGACGAGTGGGGGCGGGGCCGAGAGCCGTGGGAACGGAGCGAGGCCGGTGGAGTAATTGATAATGAGCGACACCTGCACCACTCACCGGTCTCGAGTCCCACGGAGGAGCTCCGGAAGGATAAAAGGAGGAGTGACGACAGTGTTGGACGAGAGAGGACCAGGCCTGGATTTTATTTTGGTTCTGTTTGTGCGCGACAGTCGTCCGCGAGGGGCTGTCGTGCTATTTTGTGTTTATTTTATTATTAAAGTTTTGTTTAAATGTTCGCCGGTTCCCGCCTCCTTCTTCCCGTGACTACGAACTGTGTTACAATATGATTTTTTAAATGGAATTTATTATGCATTTATTATTAGTAATACATGTACTGTTTTCCAGAGACACAATTAGTTGATTGTGTTCATTGTTGCTGCCACAGTCATCAAGGCAAATACAGTACAGATAAATACAGTAATACAACCTTTGTACAGGTTTCCATCAGAACCTGCAACAAAACTACAGGGGACAACCAATGATAATTATAAGAAATTAAACCGTGTAATCTGCTTAATGGTCCAAACTGGGACTTTCCTAACCTCTTGGGACAGACTTGAGAGAGAAAAACGCAATGTGAGAACACATTATTGCTACTGACAGATTGAAAATTGGTCATAAATAAAGTGGTTTACTTTTTGTTGGTGCTCAAATGATATTATTACAATATTTCTAATTTAACAGTATTAAAATAATATAAAATGTCACAGTTAAAAATATTTAAATAATTGAAAGGTGCAGTATGTAAAATTGAAAGCTAGTGGTTGAAATGGTTACCGCAGTCCAAATTCAATATATTGGAGAGAGTTGTTTCTCCCTTCCACTCCTTCTCAGACTCGCACGGGTTGCCAGATTGAGGACATGCAACAGGAACGTGCGCAATTGACAGTGTGAGGTGATTAATTAGCAAGCCGCTGATTAATTAACTCATTAGTTCCTCGTTTAGTCTTGTGTTCCATTGCATTGTCCAGAGTTCACAGAGTTCCATTGTCCTGTCTACGTCTGTGTTAAGGTGTTGTGTGATCCGTTTTCCTAAGTGTTCCTGAGTGATTTTTGAATTAAAGACTGTTCTCTTGGATTATTTGTCTTCTTGTGCTACTTAGACTACAACTACCTGTGACAGCATTGATTTATCCATCCATCTAGAATTTTTTTAGATGGATGCAGAGGCTTTTAGGTTGGGTAGAATCTGCAATTTCCACCAGCTGGCAACCCGGGGTGTTGAAACTGGCAGTGGGCGGAATCCCACAAACCAAAACAAAAATAGACATTCCAACACGGAACGCGCATCTCAAAAGTAGAAAAACTGGCTGTTCCATTGTTTTTCAGAGAAACGAGTATGTGAAAGCATGTTTCTTAAATATCTGCTCGGTTTCTTAGTATTTTTATACTTTAGTACATTTAAAAAAATTACATACAGCACCTTTAAGTCAGCTTAAAATATAAAATTAAAAATAACAAAAACGTAAAATAAAAAAATATAGTTATATTTAGTAAGAGAATGTATTTATTTAAATACATATTTCAAATATTTTAAGCAAATAAAACAGTCTGTATGTTAACATTAGTCATAAGTAAACTGATTTACTTGGTAAGTAAAACTATATAAGTATATATAAAACTATAAGTTTAAAACTATAAAATAGTTAGCTTAGAATTTAATTTAAAAAACAATGAAAAAGTTATATTAAGGAGATGTATTCATAGAAATAAATACTATGTTTAAAATATATATATATATATATATATTTTAATAAGTAATCAGTATAAAATGGTTAACATAAATAAATACTTTTAATTACCTGCATAAACATGGACAAATTGGTCAAACCCTTGGTTCATAACATCATGCAGCCTCTTCCTCTCAGACTCATTTAAGTTGCGACGAACTGTTAGAGCCTGGACCATTTGTGGTGGTGGCTGATGGAAAATGAGGGGGAAAAATACAGAAAACAAGACAATTTCAATAGTGACCATTCTTCCTTAACCACAGCTCATAAAAGCAGACATATCATGAGCAATCAAGGATCAAGAGCTCATTGTACTGTGACTTTCAGACCCCAAAACATCCTCCCCAATCCAAAAAATACCAAGCAATAAAATTAACTCTTTGACATGAGTCAAAACTGTATTGTGAAACTGACATAACTGAAATGAATATATTATACATACACAAACATCAAATTTGTGCATCGCCACAATGACTGTGAAATGTTATAGGTTCTTATGTTTTGTCATTGATGTCAAACCTGGGATGAAGTAGAGCAATATTTTAAGTGAATAATGAATACATTTTGGTCTGTTACTCAAACAAAGCTTTGATACAGCTTCAGCAGAGTTGGAAGTTACATCAAAAACTTTTACTATACTTGTATGTTCTTTTTAAATGTTTTGACCCGATTATGAAAAAAAGAGCATTCTAGATAGTTTAGCTCATGATGGAAGAAAGGTGGAAAAAAAAAAATACATAAATGTAACTTTTGAGTGAACAAAATTTTGGTAATATATCTAGTGCTAAACCAGTAATTATTCCGCATAGTGACTAAAAAACTGAATATGTGGCTTACCTTCAGCAGCAAACACCACAAGCAAAGAGAGAGGCAGCCGCGAGTGCCAATGCATCAGGACAGATCTTGAATGAAAAAAAAGAGCATTCTAGATAGTTTAGCTCATGACGGAAGAAAGGTGGAAAAAAAAAAAATACATAAATGTAACTTTTGAGTGAACAAAATTTTGGTAATATATCTAGTGCTAAACCAGTAATTATTCCGCATAGTGACTAAAAAACTGAATATGTGGCTTACCTTCAGCAGCAAACACCACAAGCAAAGAGAGAAGCATCCGCGAGTGCCAATGCATCAGGACAGATCTTGAGAGCACTGAAGAGTCTCTGTTCACGCAGTCCGGTTATGCATCTACCTGCACCTCATACGCATTATAAATACATGCTAACACTTACGTAAGCACATGCTGACAAACCAGTGTGTTCCACGATATAAAGATTTAGCTTTGAGAAAGTGACAGATGCTTTCAGTCTGCTTACAGTTGAACAAACCAAAACCCAATTACATACTTTCAAACCAAAGCCAGAAAAGAAAAAAGCCAAAAATCTTAACTTCTCTATGGATATCACCAAAAAATAATAATTTACTTCGAGACTTAAAACATTATTCAAAGAGACTGAAAAAACTGAGAAATTCTATAACACCTATTACAAAGTACGTAATCTTAGAGAGAAGTGTTTTCTTATTGCTAGTAATCTTTCAGATATGTTTAATAATTCTAGCAACAAAAAAAATAAATAGTTCTTGTGAATAAGTGGAAACTGTGTTAATAGATAAAGCTTCTATTTTTGTCTTACTATATATCGAAGCAGCCTTTGATATGTAATTTACTTTGTGATATGTTTTATCACAGGGTAAACAACCTGACCAGTTCACCAATTAGAAAAACAGTTAGGATTTTAATGGAAATTTGGAAAAGTTTAAATCTTATTTGAAAGAAGTGAATTCAGATCAATTGGGAAAGTTTTGACATTGAAATGACTGGCACAAAATGTCCCAATTATCCTGAATAAACCATAAATAAATGTTTTTTGATCATTTTAATAAAAATAAAAAAAAGTGTCTTATTTCTTGTTCTGAAACAGAGCGCGGTTTAAAGACCACTAGTCTTTCCATTATGAGTTACCATGGGATCAGAACTATGTACAGTATCTTAATCAGCTACGTGTTAAACATTTTGCAATTGATTGTTCAAATCTTACAGATGAATCAGGACAATACTAAACTACTACGTCCAAAAAAAAATTCATAATTTATATCTACACTGAAAAAAAAAAATTGGTGAAGAAACAATTTTCATTTAGAAATTGCAAGTACATTTCACAAATAATTACAAAGAATCAGCAAGTAACACACTGAATTAAACATGAAATGTTTAAGTAAAAAGACTGAAATTGATTTTCTTGTAACACATACTCCAATAATCTTTTTTTTTTGTTTGTTTACAACTTTTTTTTATTTTTATTTTTATGTGTGGCCAAGGTGATGCGAGCTTAGAAGGAAAGTCATTTCAGAGGCGAAACAAGCTATTAAATTTTGATGATAGATTACAAAAGTAAACTTTTTGTCTTTGGAAGAATTATCCAGGCTGTTGTTGTAAATAAGAACTTGTTCTTAAATGACTAGCCTGGTTAAATAAAGGTTAATAATATTCACCAAAAAAATCACATAAAATAAAAAAGTAAACAGGGTCCATTTTGATTTCATGTTTACTTTAAAACAATAGTTTACCAAGCTCTCCTCTCGCCCCCTTAGGTCCTGCACTCGCTGGTTGAGCAGTTCCTCCAAGCCAAGCGATGCATCTCTGCAATCGTTCACACCACGGGGAGAGTCCTCAACCAAGCTACAAACATACATGATACAAAACACTGTCAGAAACCGGGTCTCAAACTCCAAAAGCTGATGTAATTCCACCGGCATACTGCAGTTTGGTTTTCATCATGCAACAATGCTACTAACCAGCAGAGGGCACCAAGCACATGTTCATGTACAGAGGAATGAGGGGAGCGAAGAACTGACACCAGCTGCTGCACCATCCCCATTGACAACACCGTATCTGAAAAAGAAAGTAGGATCGAACACATAAAACTCTAGCTATGTTTCCATCCAAAGTTGTGAATTTAACTTAAATGCAAAACTGGAATATCGCATAAAACAGTTGTGAATAAAGCACAGTTTCCATCCAACTTATCAAAGAGAACAAAATCGTCACTTCCTGATAATCTGGCACTAAATATTACTAAGAAAAGTAGGAGAAGCCACTGAATATTATCATTTTAAATTACTTGCGCTTCAGAGCGAGCAGACGAAACACAATAAATGCAGTCATTGCTTTCGGAGGTGGATGCTGCTGTTTGGGAACACAGTTGTGTAAGGCAATCTTACCGAAATACTTTGATGACAGACATTGCATAACGACCAAAACAACATTTGAGATGCTGTGCAACGAGATCGGTCCGCTGGTTAGTCAAATTATCCCGTCCCATCATGTAATGTCGCATTACTTTTTATATGCACATGAAGAAATTTATTGGGTAAATGTGTTTCCATCTCTCATTAACTCTTTTTTTTTCGCTCTCAACTGATCGTAAAAACTTTGTGAATTAAGGGATTTTTTTCCCCCGAATTGTGGTGTTTCCATTACTCGTTTATAATGCGATACTTCAAAATGCACATGAAAACAGAATGATGGAAACATAGCTACTCATACAAACTGGACTCATGATGGTCTAACTGAATGCGTCCAGATTCAGCACTACCTTTGTGTTCTGGATGACTGGTCAGAAGGTTTAACAGAAGGAATGCTGATTTAGTTCTCAGTTTCTCACTGTCTGACTGCATCCCCCTCATCAGCACTGAAAAGCCATCATGTGACACGAAGTCCCGCAGACCTGCTTCCTGTTCCCGGACTAAACCTGCAAGAGACAAGAGTTGTAGATGCTTAACTTCAGAGACAGTGTAAAGAGGAGACTTGCTGCTGGAAGCCTTTCAATTGAAAAAAAAACAATGTCGAGTCACCAATCAAAAATAACCCAAATAAATAGGTTTATCAACTTTTGAAAAGTAAGAGCAAAGGTTTTCCATGTTTTTTGTCGTTAACATCAAAGATTGTGACATCCCATCAAAACCTACAGTATAGGATTGGGCGATGTCTACAAAATTGGCATTGGACGATGTCTACAGTGAAACATCGCGATGGACGATGGCGGGGGCGACTGGGGGAGGGGGGTGCCCGAAGCGTGAATCCTTATAAGGGAAAACACGATTCCTAACACCGTTTCTACACCAGACGCGAGTGGCGCGGCACGACAAAATATTATAGAACCACTGATCTATAACAGAGATTTATTATACATAGATCAGTCTATAGAACTCATTATAATCAGTGATGCGGTCTACACTGGATGCGTGTAGTAAACACAGTAAACTGCTGCCGCATTCTATTTATGACGTGCTGACACAAATTTCAATTGATTTTCAACGGTCGCTTATTTCGCATCCAGTGTAGACAGACTTTAGTTGATGCGTCTTTAATTTCTTAAAATCTTTGATAGACTTTAGTATTGCGTCCGGTGTAGACATGGTGTAACGGTTGCCTGTTACATTACAGTACATAAAATTTCACTTACCACATAAATAGAGTAAGGAGAGATGACTGAAGGCGAAGGCGAATGATTTGCAGATCCTCAGTACCACTGACAAACATATAAAATGTGTGGCAAGTACTGCCGCTCCATTGTATCAACAGTATACGTGCGATCGCGAAAAGTGAAAGTGAAACTAAAAGCGATCGTGCATTCAAAAGCACGATGCCAGTTTCAATGCCAGGTATAATAGTGGGTCCCTGATGCCGAAATATGTAGTATAATTACCCAATTAAATAACTGCGAGGAAAAATATTGAAATATATATTTTCCTCCCATCTCGTATTTATTTCCTTTAGGGGTTCTGCCTACACGTCATATTCTTTCCGAACACGGTATTGGGATGCGGGGGGAGGGGGATCACGATGCCGGCTCAACATCGTGATGTCTATCAGCCATCGGCGATGGACGATGGCATCGTCTATCGGCCCAACCCTACTGTAGTATTTTGAAACAAACTAGTCAATGAGTAAAAATTGACAAATCAGACGTCCCTCATCCGCAAAAACCATGAACGAAAGAGAGTATTACATACAGAACTATACCAAACTTTGCTATAAGTTTGATTGCATCATATAATAAGTGCTGTTAATAGTGTTCATCGTCTGTTTGATTACGTCTTTAATTGATTTTTCCGTACATTTCTGCCATATGTACATAAACTGACAGTCACCACTGATAAGCTACCACTAAATATTGTAGAAACTTAATTTTCTGTAAAGTTGCTTTGCAATGATTTGTATCGTAAAAAGTGCTATACAAATAAACTTGAATTTAATTTAATTGTTTTTATGCAGAGGAACCTTGCATCTTGAGCTATAAAACAGCTTATTTCATTTTAAATATATTTTAGATTATTAAAATGAGATGATTAGATGATTTCTATGTACCAAACAATTTCTTAGCACAGAATAAATTTTAGTACAAAAGTTAATAGTAAATCCTGATGTGGTCATGAAAACATTCGCTTACAGTCACACGCTTAGTGAATATCCTGATATCCAGTGTAAAATCTTGGTCAATATCAAGTCAATATATTACTTTATTATTGGTCAATATATGCACATTTATACTTACAGGACACTGCGTAGAGTGCTTTAACTCGAACTGTGCTGTTTGTGTCGTGATCTGCGAGTTGCAGGAGTGTCAGCAGCGCCCCCTGGTTGAGCAGGTAGAACTGCACCTCTGGCATATTCTGGGCACAGCTGGCAATAAGCTGAGCCGCCCTCCATCGAATCCCGGCCTCGGAGTGACAGAGACACCGTGACATACACAAATCCAGCCCGCCCAGCTTCATCAGATCTGCAAAACACGCAGAGAAGTGACGCACGTGTTACAAGAAGACAACAAGGAGGTTTGAAAGGCAAACACACACACACACCTCTGGCATTGTCCAAGTTCTCGCAGAGCTCAGAAAGCATTTCCAGCACTTCCTCTCGCTCATCCTTCTCCTCCTCCTCTTCCTCACTCCCTCTCCCCCTGCATTCATCTCTACTTAGCACTGCCAAACACTGTTTCATCTGCTCGACCTCATCCATCTGTCCTTTACACACTTCTGCAAGAGCTCCTCTCAGAAACTCCATCCTCTAAAAAAAAAGAGAAATTGGCTTACTTCTATTTGGATAAGAAAAAGTGTTTTAATATGCAACACAAACATCAACACAACAGAATACACTTATAAATCTGTCGGGACACATATCAGAGATTAGGGGTGGGAGAAAATATTTATTGTCTGATGCATCACGATTCTGAGCTTGGTTTTTTTCCCGCAAATGGCACGTGTGTGTTCGCTAGACTAGAGACAACCGCGGCGCATCCCGACATCAATGAACTGACTTTATCTGGAAAAATGACTCTTTGTCATTGCGTTCTTGCGTTATTGACTAATGTCCAATACACTAATTGACCAAAACACCTGATATGTCGAAATAGATCTGTGCATTAGTGTGAATGCAGCCTATTAAAGCTGCCACTGTCTATGATCTCATCAGTAATAATCAAACAGCACTAATGCTGAGGAAAAAAGAAAAACCCATAACTATGATTGTCTGTAAACTTTCGGAAACTTAAAGCACTCAGATACTGAAAGTACTTTTTGTTTATCACTTGTAATTGTCTCATCCCCCCCTTTATTACTTTATATTTGCTTTTTGAAGCTATATTTAGTCGGTTAAATTCTTAACAATTGTTTTAATTTATTATTAATTTGTAATTATTTTAAAAAGCAGCCTGCTTATATGATTTAATACAAATGCACAAAATAAATTTGATATAAAATGTATATGAAAATGTAGCCATGTGCAGTAATATTTAAAATTGAGGATGCGACACATCGTGATGCATCATGATATCGAATCGTTGACATGAGAATCGTAATCTAATCGAATCGTGAAACCAGTGAAGATTCACAGCCCGATCAGAGACTGCACGGTGGTTGGTGCTGCGGTTTAGATGGAGCATCGTGAGCTCTTCCCACCTCTTTTGTCATGGGTTCTCGTGGAGCAGGACCTTCAGAAGCAGAACCGGCCTCCACAGCCATCTGAAGCACACCTTGCAAATTGCGGGGGTGATTCCTGTTACCTCTGCCTTCTGCCATCTAAGGAGAAAAAGGCGCATCACACAGCATACTTTTTCTGCTTGCTTTTTAAATAGATAGATTTGAGATAGATAGAATATTTAATATTTTAATAGGTAAGCTTTTTGGAGACACAAAATCACATTTGTTATTTACAATTTGTAATACTAAATATTTGTTTGGTTGACTTTTTGTGGTAACTGTTACAGTCATGTTGAGAACAGTGAAACACTTTTTTAATAAGACATATTTAATTTATTTCACTTACGGATATATTGTCACAGATGTTTTTGATGTGATACACAATACAGATAAACATTTCTTTCTTTTCATTTAGAGTTATATTTTCACAGATGAAGTTCTCACACATATGTATTTATTTTATTTCACTTTCAGATATTTTATCAAAGATATATATATTTTTTTTACTTATTTATTACTATCATTTAACTTGCAGATATAATCAGTGGTGGAAATGGCCAAAATTCATTTTAAGTTGGGGTAACTTTTAGATGACCTTTAAGATTTAAGTAACTATAAAAAAAAAACTTTAGAATTTATAATAACATTAAGCTTATTTCATGTTTCCTCTAAACCATGTTTTTATGGTATCAAGATCAAAGGCACCCCGTGTAAATATATCTATAAACTTTTTTTTTTTTTTTTGAGTATAACAATTCATTCAATTAGAGTAATAAGAATCAATCAGAAAGCATAAGTTACCAATCAAAGGAAACCAAAATAAACCAACAAATTCATCTTTGCACTACAGAGGTGTACAGAAGAACACAAAAGTGGCATTTAGGCCTTTTTACAGACTGTTTAATGAGGCTCAGAGGTGCATTCAAATTCATAATAACAAAGTTAACGTTATATGTTTTAAAGTATTTATTCCTATTATTTAATTTATATCTCACAGATAAGCGTCCAACAGCCAAATATACAACGAAACTGAATAATTTTCTACAAAATAGAGATAAAATTTAAAAAAACAAGCGGGCTTACCTTTGAAAATGCTGTGTGCCAAAGTTTATTAGCGGTAGACGTTACACGGCCGTGTGTCAAACAGTTTCCCCGCAGCAGTACTAATAACGTGCACGGGTATCAGAAACACCGCTAATATAAACTGATCATTGCGGCCCCAGAAGCTTCCAGATCTTTGCTGCTCGGCGGCTCGTGCGGAAACCGTCGACGCGCAAAGACGTCATGAACTTTATTCTTCTTCTTCTTCTTTGGTGTTTATTGGCGGTTGGCAAACCAACTTGTAGGTGCATTACCGCCACCGACTGGACTGGAGTGTGGAACAGAATACGTGCTTATGGGATTGACATAATGCGAGAAGGGGAAGAAAAAAAACAACAACATTAATCATATTATTAATAATAAAATAAATAACTAAAAAAAATAATAATAATAATTTAAAAAAATTAATAAAAATAAAGAAATAAACAGATTTTAATAATAATACAAAGAAAATACAAAAAAAAACTTTTTTTAAAATTATTTTACTTAACTTCGTTTCTTTAATAAACTTAATGATGTAATCATATATAGCCTTTTCCCCTAGAATACCAGTTATAGAGAAGTCTTTGTGATCAACCTTCTTTAATGACTGAATAAAATGGCATCTTTCTTTGTTGTATTTCCTGCAATGAAGCAGTACATGTTCAACTGTTTCTTGCTGACTACAATAAATACATTCCCCAGTTGGGTGCTTGCCAATTTTAAACAATGTACTATTAAGTCCTGTGTGACCTATTCTCAGACGAGTTATAATATTCCCTTCCTTACGGTTCCTGCTCTCCCTCCTCCCAGCACCAACTTGTTTTTGTATATTATATAAATGTCTACCTGTTTCAATACCAACTGTATACACCCTGGAGTATTCTTCTCCTACTTTCACTTGTATTTTTCTATCAAATAAAAAGTCCTGAACCCAATTATATATTCTACCACCAATTCCCAAAGACTTTAATTTTATTAATAATCCTTCTTTCCAGAGGTCATGAACTTTACCGTAACTTCTTTAAATTTTATTGGCGGTTGGCAAACCAACTTAACTTTACCGTAACGATTTTGGATCATCCTTTTTAATCCTCGCGGTTAAAAGTGAACGAACACCTGAAATGTAATTTTTTCCCCCCAGTAAAATCAATGTAATATATTTTTGTTCACTAATATATTTTTTTATTTTGTATTTTAAGAGAATTTTATGGTACTAATTAATATTTATGAAATAATTATGATCAAATTTTCCCATTGAAAATAATAATTAAAAATAATTAAAAAAATTCTAAAATTTGTATATTACTTTTCAGTTATGGCAGTATTTCATGTTAAAGGGGTCATATGATGCTTTTTTAAAGATCATTATTTTGTGTATTTGGAATGCCAATTTTTGAATGCAGATTAGTGCCATCTGGTGGGAGTAAAAAAGGAAAAACATCTGCAATTCCATGGTTTAGCCACTAGATTCCTATATTGCTTATAAAGTATATATAGTTCACTATATATATAAAGTTATAAAGCCTTATAAATTCTGTAGTTGTTTTTAGACATAAATACTTATTTTTATTGAGTTGTGGATTTGTATTTATATTTAGACATTCTCAAAGACAACTTTTTGTTAAGGTTTAGATTTTTTGTTGTTGTTGAAATGTCAGTTTTTGCATTCATTTTACTACAGTCAAACCTGAACACAAAGAAAGACATTTTGTTACATATAACATCAAAATTCAACAAAAATGTAACAAAACGAACAGGAATGCTTTATCAGAGGTTAATCAATATATCTATGGTTAAATCAATGGCCAAGAGAAAGAAACAAAAAAAATAATAATAAATATTAATATTACAGGAGGTGCTCATGTTACAGGTTTTTACACTACTCATCTTTGCCTTTTTATTTGATTTAATTTTTACTTATATTTTTAAAGTTTACAAGGTTTAAAACAATTGTATTTGGTATGTACACCAAAATACATATCCGACATTATTTTTTTTCCGCAAAAGAACAAGGGTTACAGTCACATTATTTACATTAGCTGCCGGGTGGAGATAAAATGTTAAATGGTCAAATTGTTTAGAATGTTTACGGCATGTAAGAACTGCTTATGGTAATAGAAGGGATGATACAGTGATATCTCGATTGAGAATTGGACACTCTACTCTTAATAAATCACTCCAGATGATAGGAAGACATGAATCTGGTCAATGTAATCACTGTGGACTTCCAGAAACTGTAGAGCATGTGCTGATTAACTGTAGGGCATATGAAAGGGAAAGAATACAGTTAAAAGAGGAATAAAAATCTGACGGCATTAATTCTATGACATTACAGAATGTGTTAAACAGTTCTCATAAAGGTTATAAAGCTCTTATTAATTTTCTGAAAATAACAAATTTATATAATAAAATATAGGTAGAAGTTTTTTTTTTTTTTTTTTGAGAATTAGCATTTCCCTTGATATCAGCGCCTCACACTCCATCCCAGTAGGTGGCGGAATATGCACCAAAAGCTGGTTTGCCAACCGCCATTAAACATCATAAAAAGAAGAATGTTTACGGTAAGGTACAGAACGCGTCCAGTGTTGATGGCGTATGTGTGTGTCTCCGCGCATGCGTGTTTTGTCATTGTCCGCAAAATGGCTGCGCTCTTGGGCGTCCGCGCGTGCCTCTCCGGTAAGTTACTAAATGTGTTTCTTTTTCTCTTCGCGTGACGTTGACATTGTGTTTACGCTGCGAGTGTTTTGCTTGCAGAATCTATCATATATGCGTGTATATGTGAATGTGAGTGTGGACAGAGGAAGGATGCTCATGCGTTCCGTAAGCAAGGTCAAGTTCTTCAGCCTGTGCCTTGTGCACCATAGAGATTCAGCAGCTTTAATGACTGTAATGCATCAGGTTGCGCATGCATATATAACCGAGAACCTGTCCGGTGTCAAGATTAGACTTCTGGGAAATGGATTAGGGTTGTTTCAGTCTCGTGCTATTTTTTGACAGCTGTGCAAAGAGACCGAGGCTTTGATTCATTGGTTTTGCGGTGGGTTGATTAATGTGATAATGAGCCCCGTTTTTAATTATTATAATTGTTTTGTAAATATTATGTACGGAGATGAATTATTGGGTTTGTGTGTGACTGTGACATAAAGCAAATTTTCCCCTCATGTTTTCCAGCTCTGCAGTTGACCTCCCCGAGTTTACTGCACAGCTCTTATAAACTGGTGAGTGTTTTCATGTTCGAATGTTCATAACTTCATGCTATAGATTTGATTGAAATGCATTAGAGAGTAATATTACTATTTGGGATTATTTTAGGGAGTAAAGCCAAATCAAAATATTGTAAACTGCCTAATTATTAAGTCCAAATTAATTTATACTTAAAGCTAACAATCAATCAAACCCAACATTTTCCCTTTTTGTTTGTATTACTTTTTATTTTTTAAATAATTGCAATGTATGAACAATAATGCCACTAAGTTATAATATTTAAAGGAACATTTTACATAATACAAGTAGTGTCCCCCCCCCTTAGTGTGCAGTTCCTCTAAGTCGAAGGCATTTCGCAGCAGAGGCAAAGAAGGTTTTCTCTCGTAGTAAACCCCATTTGAACATCGGGACCATTGGTCATGTAGATCATGGCAAAACCACGCTTACCGCCGCCATCACCAAAGGTGACTTGATGACTTACTTTCATCTCTTAATAATCAAAAAGTGGTGTACTGACTGTATTTTCCTCATCTGTTTGCGTCAGTCCTTGCAGAGGCCGGCGGTGCACGTTATAAGACGTATGAGGATATTGATAATGCTCCTGAAGAGAAGGCTCGAGGAATCACCATTAACGCCTCGCATGTGGAGTACACCACCGCTAATAGACACTACGCTCACACCGACTGCCCCGGACATGCTGACTACGTCAAGGTATTGCACACAGAAAACATATCTGACTACACTACCATTCAAGGGTTTGGGGTCAGTCAGAGAAGAAATTAATACTTTTATTCATGAAGGATGCATTCAATTGATCAAAAGTGACAGTAAAGGCATTTATAATGTTACAAAATATTTATATTTCAAATTAATGCTGAGCTTCGGAACATTTTATTCATCAAAGAATCCTGAAAAAAAATGTATCATGGTTTCCACAAAAAGTTTTCAACATGAAAAATAAAAGGAAATGTTTCTTGAGCAGCAAATCAGCATCAGAATGATTTCTGAAGGATCATGTGACACTGAAGACTGGAGTAATGATGCACAAAATTCAGCTTTGATCACAGGAATAAATTACATTTTAAAATATATTCACATAGAAAACAGTTATTTTCAATGGTAATGATATTTCACAATATTACTGTTTTCAAATAAATGCGGCCTTGGTGAGCATAAGAGACTTATTTTAAAAACGTTCAAAATGATTTTACTGACCCAACAGTGTTGTGTGCACATACATTATCATTACATCTGTGTTATAAAAGCACGTCTCTGTCTGAAGAACATGATCACAGGCACATCTCAGATGGACGGCTGCATCCTAGTGGTGGCGGCGACCGACGGTCAGATGCCGCAGACACGTGAGCACCTCCTGCTGGCGCGGCAGATCGGCGTGGAGCATGTGGTGGTGTTCGTTAACAAAGCCGATGCCGTGGAGGACAAGGAGATGCTGGACCTGGTGGAGCTGGAGATCAGAGAGCTGCTCACAGAGTATGGCTACGATGGCGAAAACACACCAGTTATTATTGGATCGGCACTCTGTGCTCTAGAGGTAAGAATAGAGGGGGTTGGAGATGGAGATATTTAAAGGGGTCATATGATGCAATTTCAATTTTTCCTTTCTCTTTGGAGTGTTACAAGCTTTTGGTGCATAAAGAAGATCTGTAAAGTTGCAAAGACAAAGTCTCAAATATCCTAGAAAAAACTATAAATACAGTAATATTGTGAAATATTGTGAAAGCACCAATAATAATTACTAATATCTGAGCAGCAAATCAGCACATTAGAATGATTTCTGAAGGATCATGTGACACTGAAGACTGGAGTAATGATGCACAAAATTCAGCTTTGCATAAATAACATTTTAAAATATATTCAAACAGAAGACAGTTTGTTTCAATTGTGATACATGTATATGTATAGGCAGTGGTGAAGAGACTGGAATGATGTGTTTTGAACTGTTGAATCACAAATTTCAATGCTGTTATGATCATGTGTGTTCAGAACAGACAGCCGGAGCTGGGTGTTAAATCCATTATGAAGCTTTTGGATGTGGCAGATAATTATATTCCTTTGCCAAAGAGAGATCTGGATAAACCATTCCTGCTGCCCATAGAGGGAGTCTATTCTATTCCAGGTCTGTGTTTTCTTCTTGTGCTACTGCTGATATAGTATCTGTGATATAATGTTCTGCTTTGGGTAAAAGCATCTCTAAAATGAATAAATATGTTTTATGTTTGTGTGTTTAACTTTATGAATCCTGTGTGCAGGTCGTGGTACTGTGGTCACTGGCACACTAGAGCGAGGAATGATCAAGAAAGGAGATGAATGTGAATTTCTCGGACACAATCGCTGCTTTAAGTCCATCATCACTGGTGAGAACTATATTTCCTGCTCATGTTATCTTAATAGGCAGTACTTCAGTGTGCAAAATATGTTTAATATATTTGTTATGGATCTTGCATTGAACTTAATTGATGTCTTTCTGTGTCGTGATGCAAAAAATAACACCCTTTGGTATTTGAATATGGTTATTGAAGATAATATTTTTATAAATATTTTATATTTAAAACTGAAAGCATGACATTGCATGTATTAACCTCTATTATGGCAAGCTAACTGGAAGCACAAAGAAAGTGTTTTTTTCCCCCTGTATTAATCTGAACATGTTCTTGAGCTGAACTAAAACTGTTTTCGTTAATTTAAATAAAATATCAATATTACATTAAAGCTTGAAATTGTTGCTTTGGCAACTAACTGAAATAAAATAAGTTGAAGTACTAAAATTGTTAAATTAAAAGCTAATTTAAAATATTGCTAAATGCTTTAATAGTGTACAAATAATACTAAAACAACAAATATAATTATTATTATTATTACGTGTTTAATTAGTAACTTCGGTTGCTGTGTGATGCAGTGCACAGCATAAATGAGTACACCCCCTCTGAATAAATATAAAAGATGTATTTTCTTAATGATCACTAATATAATTAATATAATTCTTGGAAAGATTGCAAAATTGAAACGTATACTTAATAAAAACAACAAAATATATGCCAATATTTTCTGTAAGATAAGTAAATAAGAGCTCAATATACTTACCTGTTGATCAAAAATAGCCTTAAACCTATACACTTTTTTAAAATTTATTTTTTTAGTAACTTTCAGGAGGGTGTACTCATTTTTGCAGCACAACATTTTATCACTTTGATAAGAAAATCTTATTTTGCTGAATAATTTTGGCATTCTTCTTTGGTAATTGATCAAGCAGGCTTGTTGGAACATTACATCTCCAAAGAACCCTAACATGTCTTCTAAGTAAAGAGTAATTGCTGAATTTTGTTAAGTTTTAGAGGGGGTGTACTCATTTATGCTGTGCACTGTATGCGTTTAAACTATAATGATAAAATAAAAATATTGGTGAAAAATTTAGAAATGTTTCCTTGCCAACTAACTGAAATAAAATAAGATTAAGTTGATGTTCTAAAACTGAAATAAAAATAATTTAAAGCTGAATAGAAATATTTAACAAAAAACTAATAAAAATGACAAGCACATAATAAAATTACTAAAACTTAAACTAAAATTAAAATTAAAATGAAAACTGAAAAGATAAAAATAAAAGCTCTTTTAAAATATTACTTAATATTATAATAGTATATAAATAATACTAAAACAATAAATTGTATTATTATTATTTTTAATAAGTTGCTTTAGTTCTATGATGTGTGTTTTAAAATATAATAATAAAATAATATTAGATGAAAATTTAAAAAATCTTGCCTTGGCAACTAACTGAAATAAAATAAGTTTAAGTACTAAAACTGAAATACAAATGATTTAAAGCTAAATAGAAATTTAAAAAATGTAATAAATGACAAAAGCACAACAAAATTACTAAAATGAAAATGAAAACTGAAAATATGAAAGTAAAACCTAATTCAAAACAGTAATAAATACTATAATAGTATATAATTAATATTAAAACAACAAAAAAATGTCATTACAAATGTATTTTGTTGCTGTGCCATATGTGTTTTAAAATACACTGACATTTTCACTATAACAAGAAATGATGTGGATTTCTGATTGGGCACCAAACATAATGGCTAAAATCAAATCTTTTAAGCGATGAATCACTTTTTGGGCAGAAATTCAACTCTGATTGCTCTGATTTTCTCTGATTCTTGCTCGTTCTCTCAGGTATCGAGATGTTCCACCAGTCTCTAGAACGGGCGGAGGCGGGCGATAATATGGGCGCTCTGGTGCGTGGTCTGAAGAGGGAGGATGTCAGGAGAGGCATGGTGATGTGCAAACCTGGATCCATCCAGCCACACCAGAAGATCAAAGCTCAGGTGTGTGAATTTAGAAACGTCAATTCAGCTCCTCTGTCCTACTTCACAAACCAATCAATCATTTAAACTCTTTGTGTTCAGGTCTACATCCTGAGCAAAGAGGAGGGCGGCAGGCACAAACCGTTCTGCACAAACTTCATGCCGATCATGTTCTCTCACACCTGGGACATGGTTTGTATAGTAGAGCTGCTCCCTGGGAAGGTACGTTTTAGCTGAGCAAATATTGAATATCAGCACTAGAAGGGTTTGCTCTAAATCGGTCTTTTTCTCCGTCTCTCTTTTCGTAGGAGATGGTGATGCCGGGAGAGGATGTGTCTCTGATCCTGGCCCTCAGGCAGCCCATGGCTCTTGACAGAGGCCAAAGGTTCACTCTCCGAGACGGCAACCAAACCATCGGCACGGGCCTGGTCACAGAAATCCTCCCCATGACAGAGGATGACAAATACAACTGGGGCTGAGAGAGACGATGGGAAAAGAGGAAACTCTTTGAGACTCTGGCGTCTGAAGCCTTTTTGGACTTAAGTTCTAGAAATGTTACTCTAGAATTGAATTGCGGCCCTGTTTATATTGCAAAATTAAATCTGTTTGCTAAGGAGGATGTCTTTGTCCTGGTTGCTAATGTCTTCACGAACCCTTAAAAAAATCTGCCCACCGGTTTTCTACATGAAGAAGCAAGTAAAGTATAACTCGAATTGGAAATTTGGAATAATTTTTGTCTATTTCAGCACATCAAAATGTTTGAAACATGCTCTGCTTTCATTTTCCTCTGAGATGTCAATTATTCACAAGGAGAAAAACAGTACATTTGGGAAAGTTTCCAAATTTAAACTGTACTTGGCTTGTCAATCCATGCCGTTCATCTGCAGACACACGCTGGGTTCTTTTGCTGTCTGTTTTCCGGTCATCGTCTAAAAAATGTGGCTAATGTAATAAAATGAATTCAATAGATGTGTAGACTCAGCTTTGTGTCTGTTTTGCGTTTAACCACTTTTCAACAACATAAAAAAACGTAATAAGCAGAAAAGTGTACAGTGATTATTTAAGTTGCAATAGACTACTGTATACATATTTTAAACTGGTGTCAAACATATGTCGTGACATTGAGAAGGCAATTTTTGAAAGTCCCAGTTATTGCTTTAAAGTGTGATGTTTAAATTAACACATTTGAGTGCGATGGTGAATGATTGTGTGAAAGATCTTGAATCTGCTTGAATTTTGCTTTTTGACAGTAAACTCATTCATTAGGTCTTTATTGTGACATTTATTTGAATATTAATACAGCAATAAAACATTAAACAGTGTTCAGGAAGCTCTTTACAATTGTAACCCAGTTGGTGACTTTCACAAAGAAACGTCTTGGTGATATCTTAAAATCAGGACTTCAAACAAACAAAACTGCATTAAAAAAATTATTACTGTGATTTCATATTTTACTATTCAAATAACTATTCGTTATTTAGGAATACATTTAAATTATGAATTTACATTTTTAAGTAAGATATGACCAGGACGTTTCTTGACATTTTTGTGGTATTTATCAGTTTATCCCCAAATACAATTAATATACATTTTTTTCGCAATACATTTTTTTCCAACCAGATCGCACCAGTTAAAAGCCGTTTGCACAGATCATCTGAAAAGCAACTGTGGGTAGTTTTGTGTATTTTTGAGCCCCCTGTAATTAATTAACTGGAATTCGCTGTTGCAAATATACCACTGTCGTAATTACAGACCATCCCTGGCTGTGCATCATTTGTTGCTGCCGTAAAGCAGGCCGCACTTTTCGCGGAAATTCGTACCCGCTCACCAAACTTACCGCGTTTGACGTAATAAAGGGGTGCAGGAGAAAGAAACAGAAGCCGGAAGGATTTTGAAACTGATATTTCAAGGTAAAAAAAACGTACAAACTGTTGTTTTTAGGTCTACAAACGACGTGAAATGTCATTCGCAAGCTTTTAAAATTCTGTCATGTGACATTTCTAGTGAAATATTCATCGGGAGACTGAATACAGGATTTGATTGGATAGTGAAATGTGAGTTATTATGTTTTTGGTCTGTGTGCCTTTGGTTATGTGAGAGAGAGAAATAAACAATGCCCAATAACACAGAAATTAATAAAAAAAATTAACTATTACGCATCCTGTAGCTGCTAGGTTCTAATCTTAAAAAGAAACTCAATGTTTCTCTTTTGTCTCTCTTTTAATTGCAATTTCACTGCAGTTGTCCATTTCTCTGCATCTCTTTCATTCACCCTCTCTTCTTCCATCCATTTCTTTCTAGATCAGGACTGGGATTCCATTCATCTGCTCATATGAATCTGAAACAAGCGTTTACACAAACTTAATCACATGTAAAGAGACACGCATGTCTTTAACACATGCATGCATACACACACACTCACCATCCTCCATGGTGTCATGGGTTGTGTAGTTGTACGGACAGTCTGATCCAACCATAATTTCATACGACTCTGAAAGGAAAGAAACGATATATATATATATATATATATATACCTAATTTTTTGTTTGTTTGTTTTATTCCAAACTGTAGATGTGCATACAAACACATAATGAAACACTTGCCGGTGTCTGTTTGGTCCAGAGCGAGATCTTGTTTTCTATCTTCATCAGGATTGATATAGTCTATGGCATTTTTAAGAGAGATTATCGCACATTATCACATTAATTTGACTACTATGTATTAAAGTGAATAGAATTATCAGATCCCTGCCACCCATTTGGGTGTGTGTTTGATCCCTCACCCTCATCTTCAGCTGCGTGCTGGAGTTGCTGTGTCCGTTTGCGAGGCTGAGCATATAAACACCCCTCCATGTTCTCATACGACTCTCCATCTGAAGAGAAAAAGAGACCGAAATCAGATCAGACCCAGAATACAACTTGTGTCAACTCCTTCCCTACAGGACTGCAGTATAAACTACATTAGGAACTTAATCTATAGAGGAGCTTTAATAAGCAGACAAAGCTTTGGAATGTATAGTGATTATATTTAGTTGTATTAATTAGGAAAAAAATTTTTCGGCTAAATCAATAAATATGCCATGAACAATTTCAGACCATTTTCTGCCAATGTCCTCTTTAGAGCTGTATAATACAGGGTTATTATTGTTAAAGGGGTCATATGATGCACATTAAAGCATGTCAACATATTCTGTTACACCAAATACACAAAATAATGATCTTTAAAAGAGCATCATATGACCCCTTTAACAAAAACTAAAATGATTAAAACATGTTTGCAATTGAAATGAATCCAATAAATAAAAATATAAATATTAGATGGAAAAACCTAAACTAAATGAAAATTAGAAATGTCAGTTGAAGCACTAAAATAAAAAAGTAAAAAAAGAATAATAATTTTTAACTTAAGTAAAAATAAATGTCACCTAAATAGAAATATTTCAAAATAATGATAATAGAAATGACTAAAAACTTAAACTAAAATTCAACTAAGATTCACAGTGTGCTGTTTGTAATATTATATGTATATTTACAGGTATATATATATGTATGTATGAAGTATTGTATATCCTCCCTCACCCGTATCAGTCAAATTGCTAGGCAGTTGTAGGGTGTTGTTGTGATGTTCCTCTGGCCCCGCCACTTCCTCTTCCCCGATTGCATCGGGGTTAAGATAATCTAAAACCAACAACCATTTAATTGCACAGTAAAACCACTCACATAATTACTGTTGGTCAGGAAATACCTTCATCTGCAGAAACATAATATGTGACTTTGTCTTGATTGCTGTAGATAGCTGCTTCTACATTCTCATAGGACTGTGTGTCATCTGTTGAAAAAACAAATAATTAATGACTGCTTTTTGAAGGTTTTGTGGTAACGTCAGTTACCTTTTTTTTTTATAAAGAAATACTATGTTGAAAACTATGATTTTAAATTTTAACATTGTCTGACTAAGCACTATAATGCATATAAAAATTAGTAGTAGTATTTTACCCTTCTTGTTTTCATTGGTCTCCATATGTCTCTGAGTACCGCTCTCAGTGTACCTGTGACAGCACACACATTCAAAAACATGAAATAACCATCTTTAGTTGACAAAAATGAAGGGCTAGGCTTGAATTTATTAAGTAATAGTTCACCCAAATATGAAAATTTGCTGAAAATTTTTGTTTCTTCATCAGAACAGATTTGGAGAAATTTAGCATTTCATCACATGCACAGTGAATGGGTGCCGTCAGAATGAGAGTTCAAACAGCTGATAAAAACATTGAAAAAGTCATCCTGTCTGAATCAGGAGAGAAATATTCACAGATCAAGCAGTGTTTATAAGTGAAAACAGTTCAAAACAGCTCTAAAGTAATCTATCAGTGGATTTTGATGTGAGAGAACAACAAGAAATTGACTTTTTCACTGGAGGAAGCGTTATTATGGATTATGGACTGGTATTTTGGCCAGCGATGGTTTAAGGTTATAAAGCATGTTAATGATGGATTAGTTTATTACAAACATGCAAGTTTTCTCTTCACAAGACGTTAATTGATGGACTGGAGTGGTGTGGATATTAAAATCTCTTAGGTTATTTTTGATAGTAATGTACATTTTGGCAACATTTACCCATCATTTGACAAAGAAAGAGACCGAGAGTAAAAAGAAAAGAGAAGAAGTGTTGGGAAACGGAAATGCATCACCCAAAGTCGGTGTAAGTGGCAAAGTGTCCGTTTGTGTTTGTCCTCCGCTTTGCAGGTGCTGCAAGAAAACATTTTTTTAGATCAACTCTCATCATTTGACCACCATAAGTCTTTATACTATAATATATATATATATATATATATTTAGTCAGCATGAAGTTGGAGAATTGATTAGTGTCAGTGTGTGTATGTTTGGGTGTGTTCACACTTACCATTTCTGCGTTGTTGTGTTTTGCAGACATACGTGAACAGAACAATCCCAATCAGAAAGGCTGATGCAGGAACTGTGTAGAGTATCCAATCAGGTCGAGATGCTAAATGCAACACACACAAATAAATGAATAAGTGAATCAGCAACTGATTTATAATGACATAAAGCTACACACAAACATACCTGTGTTATGTGAGGGGTTTTTCACTGGTCTGAGATCAGGCTTGCTGTGGGACACGTTGTCAAACTTAGTTGTGTTAAAGCCTGTGGACATGTTTTAATTGTTTTTCTTTAGAGCTGAAAGTTCACTTCATCATGCTGGTTTATAAAAAACAATGAACACACTTAATATAAGACACCATATACACATTACAGGAAAAAATATATATTTAAAAAAAAAATACTGTAAGAAAATTGTAAATAAAATAAAGATTACTGGAGAGCATTTTACCAGAAAATATTATTTCAATCATTCTGCTTCAAAATTGCAGATTTAAATAACATACTTTTTTTTGTAATTATGAAATTGACTAGCAATTTCTGAGTGAAAATAGTAAATCTTACACCCATTTATTTCAGTGTACTGAAATTTGTATTGAAGTGTTCAAGATAAAATTCTCTTAAAATACATACAAATATTATTTTAATAATATTAGAAACAATTCTTAAAAACAGCAGGCCACTGTCGCTATTAGGCCAAAAATAAATAAATAAAAATCAGTTGCTGCCTTAAATTTTGAAGTTCAGTCAAATTGGTTGTTTTCAAGTCATTTCAACTTAAATTATATTAAATTGGCTTTAAATCAATTGAGTTGGATCTTGTTTAACTTCAGTGAAGTTAAAGTTGATAAAATTATTTTGATTAACTTAAAGTAATGGGAAAAAAATTGCCATAACTCATTTGTGTTAATTCTGTGATCTTCTAGATTTGCTTCATGTGACAGCCTCACACTTTCAGTCTTACTGTTTCTTTTCATACACGCTCACAGACAGATCCCAAGGGAGGGACTGTGTGTAGTTTTCTCAGCAGCTGCCACACGTTTCCTTTCTTTAACACACTACCCAGAAACAAATATTTGCAACTGTATTTTCTCTGAAGTGATGTTTTCACTGCTAAGGCCTTAACCAGCAAACATGCACCCAAGCACCAAAAATGATACTTTACTCCTTAATTTGAAGTGCAGTGTGTGGAAAAACTGCATGGCAATTAATAGAAACCAAAAACAACAATGTATCCAATTCAATGTATTCCATGTCTAAATAAGTTGTAGTTTAATGTTTAAAAATGTGCTCCCACAATTACAAGAAACTCTTACTTCAATACACACAATCTGTATATTATATGCATGATTCTAGGTCTGTATTAACTACTGTGAAAGATACCCCTTTTTTCTTTTCAAACATTATATTAACTGTTTTTCAGATAAATATCAGCACTTTACTAACTCCTCCTGTCTTTACCTTCAGTAATGGTCTCACTTGTTTTGTTCATCTTGAAGCATCAGAAAGAAGACCTTGATGTACACGCAAAGAGGGCAAACCAGAACTGACGGTGAAAGAGAGGAGGAGAAAGACAGATGCGGCGGAAGAGACGGAAGGAAGGAGAAACAGAGAAAAACATCGAATATAAAAAAGGAGAAGTGAGAAAGTAAACATGTCGTAAACACAGTCCTCACCCGCATGTGTATAACTGTTTTCACAAATAAACTTTCACTTGTCTTATATGCTTGGCATTTAAATGGAAATATAATAATAAGTAAATTATTTAAATTATGTACTGAAATACGAAAAATGCTGCTGCGATTAGTTAACAACTTAACATTTGTTGAGATATAACTTAAACATCTAAACTAAATTCAACTTATAAGGTCAAGCACAAACACTTACTTTCTTAAGTTGAACCTTAAGTTGACTTTTAAGTTGTGATCGCTTATATATAATATATAAAACAATACAAATGCACAACTTAGTGAAGTCATCTGTACTTTTATTATCTTTTTCTTTCTTCATCACACAATCAAATATTTTCTTCCCATATAAATATAATTCAAAACATCATATATAGCCCAAGAATGCACAATCACAAATGTGTCTTTATGTTAGTAAAGTCCACTAATCACCTTCTCAGAGTTACATGGGTGGCTGACAAGAACAAGTCCGATTCATATTTCACCCCAAAATCAAAAGCAAGGAATAAGAAATCATATTTTGCCAAGCCACTGGTCTAGCTGTGTGTAAAGCTTAAGCACGCGCAGCCGCACTGTGAAATCACCGGGTAGCGCGCGCGAATCCACGCGCAGCGCTTGAGCGCGCGCGAACCCTGTTGGCAGTGCCACCGGAGGAGCGTGACGCTCACGGACTGCACCGGTTTACAAAACATCCCCTCCGGTAAAGAGCACGAGCGTTCGGTCAAGCACTGTCCTTCTTTGACGTATCGCGGCCAGAATCGCGCGCCCAGATCTTTCCACACCGACAGCACCGGGCACCGGGTGTACGACCACAACCATCGGTGCACCCTGCGCTCCGTTTTCCTCGCCGCTTTGAGACCAGTGAAATCCAGCTGCTGAAACTCACGGGGAATCGCTCCGGCGAGACGGATCCCGTCCTCTCGCGTGATTTCGGACCCGTTACCTGGAGTCGGTGCACCGATCGACGAGAAGACGGGGTCAAAACTGCTGCCGAGTTTCCGGCGCAGCAATCGAGGGGCTAAATCCCTCTCGCCCGGCTCCAGCTCCGGGCCAGGGTCCTCGTGCAGGTCCGGTACCGGCAGGTGGTCGCTAGGCGACGGGCGCACGCGCAGCTGAATCTGAGCGAGCGCGAGGTGCACGGTGACGGACGCGCAGAGCACGAGCGCAGGAGACAGCTTCATTTCCATTCAAGCCAAGAAAAGTTCATTAAATGTCTGATTTAAGTTTATAGGTAAAGTGTATGAAACAAAACTTCGCAGTTGGTTAAAAAAAAAAGCTTGTGAGGAATAAATCATCCAAAACAGTAGATTCAGCGCTCAGGTAGGCCTACAACACCGACAGGTAATTCACTTATTAACAGGCTAGAGGCTTTTTAATGTTAGACTGTGTACTCTCTCTTTGGTAACTGAAGCCGGTCTCCTGCTGAATGGCGCCAAACGCGTCATGAGTTGCGCTGCACACCAGTGGCGCCCCGCGGGGTTCAGCTCCATGTGTCACCCGTTACAACTACAACACCCTCCCTCAGCTGAGCTGAGACCCATGAACGCCAGAATTAACTGAACGTAAAGTGCATAACATTGTCTTTTTGGTATTATTTATATAGTCTACTACTACTACTACTACTCTCTCTCTCTCTCACTCATTAAAATGGTTTTATTATAATATTAATATGCTTATTATATACTATTATTTTCTAAATTGCTTTTATTTATTAAGATACAGTAATGGGCAGGTTTAGCTCTTAACTGTTTAATAAATCACTGTTTAATAAATGAAAGATTTTATACATTTAATAATTAATCAATAATAATATTTAATATAATAGTAATAATATTTAATAATTGAATAGATATATTAATACATTTGTTGTGTTTAATTCATTGATAGTATTGTTTAATGCATTTTAATGTTTTCAAATACATTTTTCTATTATTCCCTATTATATATTACAGTATTTATATATATTTTTGGTTTTTATTTTAATTTTTGTTTCATTTATTTAGTAATTTTGTTACAGTATGTGCATTAGTCATTTTTAATATTTTGCTATATTACTATTCAGGTTTAATGTTTTATTTCAGTTTTGGTTTTAATTACATTTTTGTTTTTATTTATTTATTTTTTCCAGTTATTTTATTGCTTCCACTTAAAGGAAGAGTTCACCCAAAAATAAAAATTACCCCATGATTTACTCACCCTCAAGCAGAGTATGTGAGCGGAGCGAGGAGCGGAGCGGCGTGATTTTGCCTGGAGCTAGGAGCGGATGTTTTGAGGTTTTCACCCGCTCCGAGAACGCTCCGCTGCCGCTCCGTCACGAGCACAAATTATGCCAACTCACGCATTAAACATAATTAGTTAGCTTGACAGATATGTGGATCACATATGAAGGTTAAAATGGCGATGGAGGAGTGCGGGAGTTTAAAGCATGTTGTAAATTGTACAGTTTGTTAATCTCCGCTCGAAACTAATGTGCTGCTACATTGCTGCACACGGACAGAACACACAAGCTCGCACATAAGGGCTAATTGTAGTGTTCCAATAAACCATGTTAAAACTATTCTTCTAGTATTATGCATTTATTTTTCGTTTAATATAATTTCTGAACAGAACTTTGATTTTTCAAGTATAGTAAAATAATTTAGCCGCGGAGTGGTGTTTCTGATCAGTGGAGCGAGGAGGGGAGCGTGAAATGGTGAACCCGGAGCGGAGCTGGAGCGGAGTGATTATTGAATGCTTGGAGCGCGGAGGGGAAATTGTTGCCGCTCCACTCCGCTCACATACTCTGCCCTCAAGCCATCCTAGGTGTATATGACTTTCTTCTTTCAGACGAATAAAAGTTGGAGTTATATTAAAAAACATCCTCCTCATTCAAGTTTTATAATGGCAGTGAATGGGTGTTGAGATTTTGAAGTTCAATAAAGTGCATCCATCCATCATAAAAAGTACTCCACATGCATCCGGGGGGTTAATAAGTGAAGCGATGCATTTGTGTAAGACAAATATCCATATTTACAGCTTTATAAACCGTAATCTCTAGCTTCCATTAACTGTTGTACTCGCGTTCATGAGAAAGTGACGTTCCAGCGGATGACATAGGCGTAGGCCAGGGGTCTGCAGAGTTTAGCTCCTACACTAATCAAACACACCTGAACCAGCTAATCAAGGTCTTACTTTATTAATTCCCCGGAGCCTTGTGGGACACTTTTTATGATGGATGGACGCACTTTATTTTGCTTTAAAATCTCAACCATCATTCACTGCCATTATAAAGCTTGGAAGAGCCAGGGCATTTTTTAATATAACTCTGATTACAGTTGGAGTTCACTTACAGTGGAAAAGTAATAGATCTAATGGGACGTTCTATGTAATTTGATAGTAACATACTATTAAATGTACAGTTTTGGGGAGTCTAAAAGAAAAAAAAAATCATTTTATATTTTACAGTGAAAAACCATAAATTGACATTTCCAGATTTTTTTTTTCATTGAAATAAATTAACGTTATGTACATTATTAGTTTATCTTACATCTTATGTTGTTAAATGATTATTGCATTATTTTAGTGTCATGTGTATAATGAAACTCAGCTGTATGTGGGATTCTCGGCCTACTATATTCACACAGAATGTAAATTCTTGTAATAAATAATAAATTACACCGATTTCCAATCTCAATGAATCACATTTATAGTTTGCTGTTGATGTTAAACAGGCCTGGCCTACAAATACCCTTGATTCCCTATAGAATCTAGACCATGAGACACTATAAAAGGTTTTACGGATACATGGCCTTCAAGTTGACACTTCGTCACACATTGAATGAATGACGCATTTTATCACTTTAAATTAATCAATTAGCTCACTTCTCAACCTCTGGCCTATAACGAGCACTGAGTTTATGCCTTAAGGATTTACGTCAGTGACACCCCCTTAAAACATCCGCTCACACACACACAATAAACACATGCACAAACACACACACACACACCTCACCCACGCGCTTTAATAAATCTAATCATCAGGTCAAGCATGCCGGGGCAGCCTTCAGTGAGGTGATTCTTGAGCGCCTAGACAGACCAAAACAACACTCCCATGCAGAAACATATACACATATACATGCAAAAGCCCATAAACAATAGAGAGGCCATATAAGCATTTTAAGGATTTTAACATATCATGATCATTCATTTACTCAAAATATATTTGGTCTTAGAGGTAATATTGATTTGGGATATTATTTGAAATGGTTTACACTCTTCAAAAATATGTATATATATATTTGTTTGTTTGTTTTTATTATTATGATTACAATTTATTTTTATTTTTTTTGCAGTGATGTCATAAAAAAATATATATTTTGGGTTCTCCAAAGAACCGTTCAGTGAACTGTTCTTAAAAGAACCATTTTTTAGTGTGAAGAATATTTTAAAAATCTAAAGAACATTTTTCCACTATTAAGAACATTTTCTGCAATTAAGAGACTTTATGGATGTTAGAGGTTCTTCATGGAACCATCAATGCAAATAAAGAGAAATGTGATAAATTTATGAATCAATAAAAATATGTATATATATATTTGTTTGTTTGTTTTTATTATTATGATTACAATTTATTTTATTTTTTTTTGCAGTGATGTCATAAAAAAATATATATTTTGGGTTCTCCAAAGAACCGTTCAGTGAACTGTTCTTAAAAGAACCATTTTTTAGTGTGAAGAATATTTTAAAAATCTAAAGAACATTTTTCCACTATTAAGAACATTTTCTGCAATTAAGAGACTTTATGGATGTTAAAGGTTCTTCATGGAACCATCAATGCAAATAAAGAGAAATGTGATAAATTTATGAATCAAAAATTCCTAAACCGATGGTTGATTAAATTGCTCATGACATTACAAAATTAAACATGTTTATGTTGTTTTTAATATGTTCTATAAACAATTGTCTTATAATTGTATATCTTCTAAAAGTACAGTAGTTGTCATTAATATCTCTGTATTTTCCTGTTTATTTATTTGTTTTATCAAAATATGGACAGGTTTAGCTCTGAAAGGTTTAGTTTTAACTGAACTGTTTAATAAATTAATTGAAAAATGTAAATTAATGTAATTATGAATCAATAATTTAATAATTAATCAATATAGTTATTAATTAAAATAATAGCTAATAACAATATTTATTATAATAGTAATAATATTTTCTAAGTTAATAGCTAACACTTTTGTAGTACATTTCATTAATTAAGTGACAGAATTGTTTATAATATTTTTATGCTGTTTTATATTTTTATTATTCGTTTTTACATTATTATATTTTTGTTCTCTGTTTTTCCTTTTAATTTAACCCTTGGTTAATTGTTTCCCTCTTTTTTCTTTTTTTCCTTTTAATTTTAACTAGGGATGCACCGATACCACTTTTTCCAGTACTCGCCCGATACCGATACTTTTATTTTTGGTACTTGCCGATACCGAGTACCGATACCAATATTTTTTATTGCATTTGTAAATTTTTTAAATATTGGGTACAGAAACCAAAAGAGTATGTATAATGTTAGTTGGTTAACTTAATTTATCAAATAGATACAGTCAAACCAAAATATATTCAGACACCTTCAACATTTCTCACATTATCACAGTTTATTCGCTATAGTTTAGAAAATGGTAATAAAATATGACAAGAACTCAGAGTTAAACTGTGTCAGAACAAATTCAGCTTGATAATGTCAGATAACTCTGATAGAAAGGTATGTAATGGTTTACAATAAACCAAAAATTATTCATACAGCTGTCAAATATTTACACAACTATCAATACTTAGTCAGGCAACCCTTAGCCTTAATGACAGCATATAGTCTCCTGGGCATGCTGTCAACCAGGTTCATGCAAACCTGAACTTCAATTTTTTCCCAGACTCGGTCTGAATAATTTTTGACCCCAAATTTGTATAAATTTTACTGGTAGTCCACTGTATGAAGAATTTTTAGGTATAATATATCACAGTTTAGTTTATTTTGCTATCCTCACTTACATAAAGGAACTATAGTGTCCTGCACCCACTAGTAAAAAAATATCAAAAATGATATCTGGTCTCTGAAT